AAAAAAAAATATATATATATACTGGGTGGCACCTGTGGCTAAGTGGTAGGGTGTCAGCCCCATATACCAAGGGTGATGGGTTCAAACCTGGTCTCAGCCAAACTGCAACAAAAAAATAGTCGGGCGTTGGGGTGGGTACCTGTAGTCCCAGCTACTTGGGAGGCTGAGGCAAGAGAATCTCCCAAGCCCAGGAGATGGAGGTTGCTATCAGCTGTGTGACACCACAGCACTCTACCAAGGGCAATAAAGTGAAACTGCCTCTACAAAAAAAATTTAAAAATAAAATTAAAAAAATTAATATAAATATAGATATATTTGTGTGTGTGTGTGCTCTCTATGGAAGAGATGTCTCTACGTCTCCTCCACAGAGCACACAGAGTAACTGTCTATACCCAAACACACATACATACACAAATGGATATTCATCCTAAAGCATTTTAATATAAAAATTGTATACTATTTATTTTTATCACCCACCAATAAGAAACTGCTTAAATAAATTTTGTTACAAATCCACAAACCCTTAATTTAACATTATTGCAGCCTGACATGTTTCAGAATTCAGAATTCTTCATATTTAGAAAAGGTCATGTGGTTTATATACCATGTATAGGATTGTACCACAGGAGTTTTGAGACCTGAAGTAGCACTCCATACCCAAACACATCAATCTCTCTTCCACAGAGCACACAGAGTAACCCTTCATACCTGCACACATCAATGTACCTTCCACAGAGTAAACCTCCATATCTGAACACATCAATGTCTCTTCCACAGGTTACACAAAGTAATTCTCCGTACCAAACACAACCATGTCTCTTCCACAGAGCACAAAGAGTAACTCTGTGCATGACACTAGGTCATTAATTCATTCTCATACTGTGCTTATAGAAAAGGACCCCTCAGGTAGGACCTTGTATCCATACAAAGGAGGCTACTGGTCTTAGCAAGGCAGCAGCCAGCCAGGTATGCAGCTCACATCTGTCATCCCAGCACTCTGGAAGGCGAGGTGGTAGGATTGCTTTAGCCCAGGAGTTTTGAGACCAACCTGAGCAACACAGCAAGACCCTGTCTCTATAACAAATAAAAAACTTAGCTGGGTCTCCTGGTACATACCTATAGTCCCAGCTGCTTAGAGGGATAAGGCAGGAAGATACCAAGCCCAGGAGTTCAAGGCTACAATGAGCTATGATGATGCCACTGCACTCCAGACGGGATGACAGAGCAAGATGCAAGTTTCTAAAACAAACAAACAACAGATTTCCATGTGCTCACACTGTTTATATGAAAACAGCAAGTTAATGAATAGGATGTATGGGTGTATCCAAACTAGTGGTTAAAAATCACCATCTGTACGTGTATATTTATACAAAAAAGAAACATGAGTGGACACAGAAAAAAATGCTACCAGTTTTGGGTGGGATTACAGTTCATTCTTTGTTTACTTTCCTTATGATGTATGAATCTTTTAAAACAAGCATATGATACACTATTATAATCACAAAAAAAAATACTATTTTCATTTCACTCCAAAAATAAAGATGGCTGATGGTGCCAGTGTCCAAATCAGAAGCCCACATGGTCACTTGGGCTTAGCATTGCACACTGCTGACAAACATAGCCCCAGCACTGACACCCTCCCACCCCCATGACTGCTCCTGTGTCCACCTCTCTATTCTGGGCCCAGACTATGTATCCCATATATGTTACACCCTGTGCACTTCCATCTGCTGACTCCAGGGACCCAGCTCCTACCTCTGGTCCCTCCTGGACTCCAGACTCGTGCATCCACCTGCCCACTCAACACCTCCATGCAGAAGCTGATCATTTCTCAAACCTGTGTGACTGAGGCTAAGTTCCTAAGCTGCTCCTAAAACTGCCCTCTCAGCTTCCTGATCTTAGGATATGGTGGCTCTGTCCACCCTACTGCTCAGGCCACAGCCCTGGAGTCCTCTTGCAGGCTCCACAGCCTCCCACATACATACCACATCAGCTCCATGTTCACTCACAACATCTGGCAGTCCTCAGCTCTGCTGGCCTCACCTTGCACCTGCTCTGCCAACTGTTCACCACCCGCAAGGCCCTGATGGGTCTGCAGTTCCCACTCTTGTCCCCGTGGTGGTTTCACAACCCAGGACCCAGAGGAACCCTCTCAACAGGAAGCCAGCCTTCTCCACTTCTATGCCCAGTCCTTGGTGCCATCACCACTTCGCTGGTGCCTTGTCTCCTGCAAGACACACCCTCACTTCTGTCAAGCTTTAGTTCCACTGACAGCTTCCTGACAAGGAAGCAGAACCACAAAGTTGATGTTACAGCCACCTCCCAACACCCTCCCCTTTCTATACTAATTGTTTTGTTTTGAGACAGGGTCTCACTTTGTCGACCTTGGTAGAATGCCACGGCATCAGAGCTCACAGCAACCTCAGTCTTGGGCTTAAGCGATTCTCTTGTGAATCACTGAGCCTCCCAAGTAGCTGGGACTACAGGCACCTGCCACAACACCCAGATTTATTTATTTTTTTTTAGAGACGAGGTCTCACTCTGTCTCAGTCTGGTCTGGATCTCCTGAGCTCAGGGCAATCCACCCACCTCGGCCTCCCAGAGTACTAGATTATAGGCAAGAGCCACCACACCCAGCCTCTATCCTACTTGTTAATTTTCCCCAGAATATAGACCAGCTCATAATGAACTATACAGCTTCTGACATGTGTATCTGCCTTTGTCTGTCCAGAACACTGGCACAGGGCCCAGCACACCCTGGGCAGCAGCAGTGATAAACTAAACAGATATACTGCTCTGGGCCCCCCCACCCTTGGCCCCTCTGAGCACAGGCCCTAGGTACCAACATTCAGAGGCCAGCTCAGCTCATGGCCTCTTTTCCAGCTCTCATCACAACTTTTTTTTTTAAGAGACAGAGTCTTACTTTGTTGCCCATGGTGGAGTGCCGCGATGTCACAGCTCACAGAAATCTCCAGCTGTTGGGCTTAGGCAATTCTCTTGCCTCAGCCTCCTAAGTAGCTGGGACCACAGGCACCCACCACAACACCCGGCTATTTTTTTGTTGCAGTTTGGCCGGGCCGGGTTTGAACCCTCCACCCTCGGTATATGGGGCCAGCGCCCTACTCACTGAGCCACAGGCACTGCCCTCTCATCACATCTTTTATAAATTTCCTGAGTTTCAGACTCAGATGTGGAACAACCTCTTAAATATGGCCAGTGGGTGTCTCCCAGGCACCTAAGATGTGGGCAGAACCACACTCAGCCCACTCTCCTAAACCACTCCACTCAATACTTCCATGCAGAAGCTGATCATTTCTCAAACCTGTGTGACTGAGGCTAAGTTACCAAGCTACCCCTAAACCTGCCCTCTCGACTTCCCCATCTCAGGAGCTGGTGGTTCTTATCAGCCAGTGTCCTGACTCCCTAACCCAAACCAGATGCCTCTTTCTCTCCCCTCTCTAGGATGTCTCCAGGCTGCTAGTCCAGCTCCCTCCTTGCTGTCCCTACAATGGCCCATAGCTCTGCCTCTAGGACTGGCTTCCTGGCCCTGGCTCACTCCAATCCCCACTCCCCAAGGTCCCTCTGACCTCAAGGGTGCTGCTTCATCCCTTGGCCAATCCCTTCACTTGTGTCACAGCTTCCAGCACAGCAAAATAACACAGCATCATTTTCCTGAACTGGCCAGGGAGTCCCAGCACCCTGTCCCTTCCCCTCAAACATGGTGCCCTACCCACACATATAGCACCTCCAAAGCCCAGCGGCCCCCATTGCTTCTCTTGTGCCTGGAGCGGCACTGATGACCTAGCCCTGTGGTGACTCCTATGCACCCACCTCCTCTCCCTGTCCTCCAGCCTCCTCCCCCCAGGCCCACTGACACACCTCCAGGGAGGTCCCAAGGATGAGCAGCAGATCTGCCATGGGGAAATCAACCATATGTAGCAAGAACCTCTGTGGCAGCGGCTCCCCAAAGAACACAATGTCGGGCTTCACAACCCCGGTACAGGCTTGGCAGCGGGGAACCCTGTCCGCCATCACATCGGCCTGGGGAAACACAGCAAATAGGCTCAAGATAGATGTACAACACATTTTAAAAGGAAAAGGCAATAACAACCTTTTTTTTTTTCTTTACTAGACCACCAGGGAACAAGAATTTCTTATTAAGAAAGTTTTAAACATTCACAAAACCTCCCCATGTTACCAGCTTCAGCAACCACCAACAAGCAATTTCAAAGCCACTTGTCTCACTGGCCCTTTAGATTCTGGGAGGGGGTGTTGCAGTCTTTAGAGGCAAATCCTGGGAACAAATGAGTTCTCCCATAAATACTTCAGTAGACATCTAGGGCCACACTAAGTTCTGCACCCGGGGCAGGGCCAGAGACACAAAGGCTCTACAGATGTGCCCAGCAGACCCCTGTCCTCCTTCAGTGCTCTGTAGGCATATGGCCAACAACAGACATGATTCAGTGAGAAAAGTGATATAAAGCCTTTCCTGGTTTGAGCTGAAATGACCATGCATTGTCTTAGCCCCAAGAGGCATTCAGGTCTACTTCAACTCCCTGGCTAGGATGGTTAGAGAAGCAACATCTTGCCAAAGACTACTTCCTACAGGCCAAGGCGAAACAGACGCAAATTATTAATATATCATGCTGGACCTGGATTAATGCCTTGGGCCACATGGAAAAGGAAGAAACATAAGGAGAAAGACAGGAGTTTCTAAGATAAGTCTTTAAAGCTAATGGGATTTGTTTTAGCAGGCAGAATCCAGCAAGAACCAGCAAAAACAATGGACAAAAAGAAACATATCCACCAAAGATTTCAGATATTATCAGATACACATAATAAAACTACATTATGTTTGTATCAAAAGAAAAAAAACTTCGAGTATTTATTAAAGATAGAAAACTATTTTTTAAATGTGGCAGACTTGAAAAGCAACCACATAAAACTCTAAAAATGAAAAGCAGAGTAACCAAAATTAAAACTTGATGGAAGGATTTTAGCCTCTACAACAAAATAGGATGTTCATAAACTGAAAAACAGATCAGAAGAAACCACACAGAGTGCAGCACACTGAGGAGGCGGAGGAGGACAATGAGAAAAGAGAAGGGCCATCAGCAGCAGGGATGGGAGACAGGCTGAGTGTCAGGGGACCACAGGCACACAAAACAGTCTTGAACAAGAAAAACAAAGTTGGAGGACTCACACTGCCTGATCTCAAAACTTACTACACAGCTACAGTAATTTAAACAGTGTGGGACTAGCATAAAGACAAAACAGAGAAAAAAAAAAAAAAAAAAAAAGACAGAACAGAGCCGAGAAATAGACCCTCACATGCACGGTCAATGATTCTGGTAAGGACACCAAGACTGTTCAGTGAGTGGTGGAAAACTGGAAATGCAGATGTAAAACAAAGAAGCTAGGCCCTCACCATCTGCTGTACACAAACATTAACTTAAAATGGATCAAAAACCTAAATGGAGGCCCGGCGCCTATAGCTCAACCGGCTAAGGCGCCAGCCACGTACACCTAAGGTGGCGGGTTCGAATCCCCAGCCCGGACCCGCCAAACAACAATGACGGC